AACCCTAAACCCTAAACTCTGAACAATGCCCTCAACCCTGAAGATCCAGCGTGTAGGATCCGCGGGTCTAGGGTTTTAGTTAGGGCTATAGTTTTGGGGTGTATGGGGTTTAGGGTTCAGGGTTATGTTCGTTTGCTCGTTGTCTCCCTTTGATATTGCGGCTCCAGGATTGAATTTTCGCAAAAAAACCCAAAAAACTTTTTTTTGGGTAGCAGGCGCGGGATAGGGTTTTGGCTTTAGGGCCGGTTTCGGGTGTCGGGTGAGGAAGTGTAAAATTCAAGGGTCTTTTGTCGTCACCGTTATGTGATCTTCATGGGTAGTTTTCTAAACTAGGGTCCCTTTTTGGGTCCTTATTATAATACGGCACCTATTATTTAGGGTATCCCAAAAGGGACCCGAATTTTGACAACCACCCTCATGCATGCTGGATTTGCCTTTGCTTTGATTGGCAATAGAGCTGCTGTTGTGCTTTGGAGTATTTCTCGTTTGCTCACCCCTGTTCACTTCAAGTCAAGATACTCCACACGCCCAACTATGGGGTGAATTACCCTGAAGCCCTAAGCCACCCTAAACCCCAAACCCTAAACCACCAATCCCGGAACCCTAAACCCCAATCCGGAACCCTTAAACCCTAATCCGGGAACCCCAAACCCTAAACCGAGCACCTTTACGGTCTGCCAGGCCTGTTAAACGGAGGGAAGGCTACTGGCGATCTCCTCTGGCTCGCCCCTGATGAAATTTCTATCGTTTCTCGCCGCCACTACCCGCTGCTAATCCTAGACCCCAGGCCCTAGACACTCACTGCTAAACCCCAAACCCAAACCCCAAGGCCCTAGACCCTCATCACTGCCATTGCTATCAGCAGTTAGATTGTCCCTTGACCTTTTGGGTTTTGTCCTCGCGGGCTGAGAGTCTTAGTTCTGCCTGTTTACAAGTTGAGAGGGTTTAGGGTTCCGGGGTGTAATGTGTAAAGTGTCGGGCTTACTGGAGTTCAGGGTGTAGGGTTTAGGGCTGAGTCGACTTGGGGTCTCGCATATGGATCACCAAATATTTCACTCACCAGCCATGAGAGAATTCCGTGAAAAAATCAACAAAACGTAATCACGGACTTGGATCAAAGAGTTGACGATGAGTAGTTCCGCACATCTTACACTGGCTAACGCCGATGTGCCGTTTCAAGGATTTAGATGGGTCGATATGGCTTAGTGCCTGCGGTGTGGGATTCATACGGGAGGATGTAGGACGAAATGTTGGATTTAGGTGCGTTGATGTATAGATTTGCCTGGGCACAGGAATCGTAGGCCCTAAACCACGCAACCTGAGCTCTAAACAACTGCAGCTAAGCAGCTTGTCGGTATCTCGAACCACAAACGTGGTGCCCTTGTCCACCTCACGCAGGCATTCAAGCAGAGGCTTCGACGTATACCAGGATTGTCAGCGCAGGAATGTTGAAGGGTTTGGGCGCATGTTTTGCGACTAGCTAACTATATACCTTGATACTCGTTTATGGCACGAAAGGTCAAACCACCATCACCTAGAACAACAATTGAGAAGCAGTGCTGCTATCCATCTAGGTGCGAGGCGCATGACACCAGGGAGGGAATGTAGAGTCGAGGTTACCGAAACTACATAGTTGACGCAACACGCGAGTTAGAGCTAATAGCTAATTCAGGGGCCATGATAACTAGAATAAGGCTTTGGGATATATTTTGGCATAATTAGAAGATTATGGCAGCCAAAGAAACGATCCAGGACACGTGACAACAGCTTCTAAGTTCAAATCCGCAAGCCCCGAAGCACATCCCTAAACCCCAAAATGAGCCCTAAAACCCTAAAGCCCTAATACAGCCCCAAGCCCTAAACTGAGCCCTACACCCTGAAACCCTGAAGCCCACCATGAACCCTAAGACCCAAATGCCAAAATCGTCGGTGAGTTTGCGCCCCCGACTGCCAAGTGCCCGCGCCTCGTGCAGCAAGTAGGTGATTTGAGCATCCGTCCTGGGGTTTAGGGCATCTGAAGCAGATATCCCAAAGAAGCCCTCCATTGAACCTCACCTTATTTGGTTCAAGTCCAGGTCCACGGGAATCCTGGCGTGAATGACTGGTCGCTTTTGACTTTGAAGTACTGACCCCTCCAAACCGGTTCAGGGTTAAGCATCTGAGCCATTCAGCCGGCAAGCAATGCCTGAATCCAGGGCGACTGGACCCTAAAACAATTGCAGCCCTAAAACCCTACACAACTAGACCCTAAACCCTAAACCCTAAACCCTAAACCCTACGCAACTAGAGCCGTAGTCCCTACAAGCTTTAAGCCAGGAAAGCTCTAGACGAGACCCTCCACCGTAAGACCCTAAAGCCCTCAAACCTAAACCAAGAACAGCGTCGACCCAAAGGCCCTAAACCCCAAACCCTAAACCCTAAACCCTAAACCCTAAACCCTAAGCCCTAAACCCCAAACCTTTAACCCGTTTCTGGTTGCCTGCCATAGGATGTATGGCGGTCTCTCCAACCCCGAAGCTCTAAAGCCTACTTGGAGGGTCGGGGGACTTACTATATATATATATATGTGTACATATATGTGTATGTATGTATGTATGTATGTATGTATGTATGTATGTATGTATGTATATATATATATATGTGTATGTGTGTATGTACTTGGAGGGTCGGGGGACTTTCTAAATGGTTCTTTTATAGACTTATAAGTACTCTAACCCCAATTAGGGTCCCTTTTTGGGTACTTATAAGTCCCCACATTTTACCCACTTACTGAGTCTCCCGACCCTCCAAGTATGCCCTAAACCCTAAACCCTAAACCGAAGCTCGGAAGAAAGGTTCTTCGGGGGAGGTTCTTGGGTTTTGCCGGCCTCTGTAAGATCAAGGGTCGTTCCGCTCAAGTTCATGGGTCTAGGGTTTAGGAGTTTGGAGTTTAGGGTTTAGGGTTTAGGGCTCAAGTTCATGGGTCTAGGGTTTAGGGGTTTAGGGTTTACCCATAGGCCCCATAGTAGTTCCTTTTTGAGATTATTACCCATAGCCCAGTTCCTTCTTGAGATTACCTTATTATAGTGTTCTTTCTAAATATGAACCCCCAAGAAGGAACTACTATGGGGCCTATGGGTACGGAGGGACTTGATCCTGCCTGCTAGACCTTTAAGATGCAACTTTCGTACTCCTTCGGTACTGCTCTGTTGATATGCTTGTTCAGGAGTGTGCTGCTCAAATCAGTGGCATGACTTACGAAGCACATGCATATGTAAGCATTGCTTAGACCTGCTAAGCTCTGAACTTCAGTTGCTGATATTCGCTGTGCTAGGAAAAGGAATCTGTGCGGATGGCCTGCGCCGTGTAAGCCCCTCTGGAGCCCTCGACCTTTAACAGGCTATGAGCGCCCAATCTCGCCCAGATGATACAAGTCGAGCTGGAAGGTCCAGCATTCTGGAGGGCGAGGTGGCAGGACCTACGTATGGAGCAGCCGGGTTTCAGGGTGGAGATCGGTCTGCGTTGCCAAATGGGGTTTCCTTGAGACTTCAGAATCCTGGTGTTAGGCCAAGATTGTCTGGGGATGATGTCGGGACAGCAGCTGTGGAGCCTGTTGATGCGAGAGAAACCGGACCGGGCGCGACGAATATGGACGTTACGAATGGTTCAGGTTTAGGGGTTCAGCAACAAGAACAAACACGAGCCTCACAGCAGCCCCAGCCTCAGCCCCCGCAACAATGCCCGCCGGCAGCACCTCAGCAACAGCAGCCAGAAGCTCTAGCTCTTGGACCTCGGGACGTGCCTCGCGAAGCAAGGATCCCTCAAGAACGTACTCAGGCACCGACACCAATGCCTTCGGATGTACTTGCTGATGTTGTACAACAAAGGGCTCATGAGTCTGTGATGCGAAGAGAATTGGTTCATGAAGTACATGTGGAACAAGTGGAACCAGTTCATGAGCAACAAGTCCACGGAGGTGATGTAGATGGAAGAGGTGCTTTGCGACCGGCATGGTTCACAAGAATGAGCGAGGTGATTCAGCGAAGAGTGGTTGGACCCGTAATGGAGCAAGTCCAAACAGCTGGAAGGAGCCGTGGCTTGCAGTCACCAGAGTGCTCGCCAGCTTCTGTGTGGCATTCCCAGCCATCCAGGCCGGCAACTCCAACGGCACCACTGATGAGCCAAGAGATGAGGCAGGCTATGACTTCTTGGACAAACCGTCCTTCCCTGCTCACGGCTGCGCCAAGGAGACAGGCGGAGGAGTCCTCCAATGGATCGATTTCCCAGGAGGTTGTCATGGAAGAGGTCAGAAGGCAAGTCAAGGCCGCTCTGGATACGCAGGTGGGGGTGAACCACAAGCTACAAGGGGTGGTGGACGTGTGGATCGTCTTTTACCTCCCGCTGGACTTTCGGCACAATCTCCTGTACCTGGTGGCAATCCCTATGAGACTGACGGCAAGCAGGCAGGTCATGAATCTCAGACAGGACCGTCGGGTATCAGTGGTCACCGTGAAGGAATCCCTCGTGATGACGGCGAAGGACCTGGCACGGGTGCTGCGATTGGAGAGGACAATGCCATGGTTGGTCATCTGCACTTGTTGGTACAAGGAATGAGACAGTTGCAGCAGCTTCAGATGAACAAGAAGGACCACTCGGAAGCAGAGGCCGTAAAGGGGAGTGTTGAGTTGCAAAAGATGCCAGAGCCCGGTGACGCGGCGGTGGAGTTCAATGATTGGATGTATGTCACCGAGCAGATGCTAGGCGCCTTGACGGATAATGCAAGTGCTTGGTTTGGTCAGTGCCTTCAGTGTGCAAGGGAGGCCTATGTGAAGTACCAGAATGCGTCAGCGCTCGAGCGGCTCAGCATAAGCCCTGAGCTCACTGATTCCTTGAAGGACCCGAAGTGGTTTCGTTTGGAGCGTCGTGTTCTCTCGCTTCTTTTGGCAGCGATGCCAAAGGCGGTGAAAGAGGACACCATCACACACCGCATAGAGTCCGTTGCGGGTGTCCTCTACAGACTTCATGTGATCTACCAGCCGGGCGGCGCCTTGGAGCGCACAGCAATCTTGAAGCATTTAGAGGGCACTGTGGGGCCTGAAGATCCTGGTGAGGTTGTGGCCCAGCTTAGACGATGGCGAAGGCATCTAGCCAGAGCTGAGGAGATGGCCATCGCGCTGCCAGATGCTAGCCTGCAGCTCAAGGGACTGGAAGCCATAACCTTCAAGGCCCTTGAAAGGCTCCCGGATGTGAAGTTCAGGTTGGCCTTAGCAAAGAATGAACTCAGATTGGCTTCGTCGCCTACGGCAGAGACAGTCTTGAAGTACTACCAGCACCTTTTGGCGGAACTACAGCAGGCCATACCCAACAACAAGCTGGACCACGCCAAGCTAAAAGGAGCTACCACAGCCTCGAACACAGGCCAAGGGACAGGGGGATCAGGAACTCCAAGTGGATCACCAAAACGAGGAAAGGGTCCTTGCAAGTTCTTTCAGTCGGAGAGTGGATGCAAGAGGGGAGCTAGCTGCACATACACCCATGAGTTTGCCTCCAGGGCTGATCGAAAGCAGCGGTGCTGGTCCTGTGGAGCCACGGGGCACCGACAGCAAGAATGCCCAACAACCACTGGGGGAGGAGTGAAAGGAAGTGGCAAGTCCACTGGGGGACAGTCTACGTCAACGACGGCTACAGTGGCGACAGCAAGCGCTGCGCAGGTGCAACAGCCACCGGCGGAGACCGGAACTGCTGGAGTGCAGGCACAACCAGAAGCCGCATCATCATCGTCTTCGGCATCTACGGCGGCAACTGAGGCAGCGGCGCAGCGTGAGGAAATGAAGAAGTTGCTGCGTGAAGCAAGCTCCATGCTGAGCAAAATCCAGCTGATGACAATGAAGGTGGAGGACACTAACAAGGCCGCCGAGGACCTGGAACTTCTGCTGAGGTCCGCCGGAATGGACCAGCATGGATTGGCCCTTCTAGATTCGGGTGCGTCCCACCCCTTTCGCAGTCCGGTGGATACAAATGAGCTTGAGGCGGCGAACAACGTTGGCGTGGAGCTAGCGGACGGCCAAATGGTGGAGTTGAAGCAGACGAACACCGGAACATTGCTCAAGGCAAAGAGTGAAACCACTCAGGCGCCAATAGTGCCTCTTGGGGCGCTGGTGCAGCAGCTGGGATGCTCAATAAGCTGGTCAAAACGCCAAGGTCTTCGCGTTATTCATCCTGAGCACGGTGACCTTCAAGTGAAGATGCGAGGAACCTGTCCTTACATCTCTGAACTCGAAGCATTGAAGCTTATCGCGGAGATTGAAGATAAGAATTTGGAGAGGCTGCAACAAACTACAATGAGGAGTTTGTGGACCACCTCCTCTTCTTCTAATCCACTCCCTTGGAGCGCATACTTGGAGGCCTATGTGAAAACAGGAAGGAGAAGCAGCGCTCTGGCGGCGATGATGGATTCCAGCTTTCCACTCAATCTGGAAACCGTGACGGATCGGTTCAGCTTCGTGGGCTCCGAGGACATCGACTTGAGCGACGACGCAGGCTTTGGGTACTTGAAGTCGCTACCCGTGAACCGGAAGTTCAGGCGAAGGCTCCATGGGTCACGATGGATTGTTCATCTTTACGATAGAAAAAATGAGACCGCCTCCCATGAGTTGAAGAAGTTCGAAACTGAGGACATCGTGGTCTTGGAGATTGACTTGCAGCGGTCCAAGATGTACAACCTGAAGGGCTGGAACAATGTTCTTCGGGCCCTAATGTGGGCGGGATGCCGGGGACAGCTGGAAGGCATCCTTGGAGGACCTCCCCGAAGAGAGGGTGATGAGCTCAGGAGAAAGCTGATGTACACTTGGATGGTGGCTGAAAGGGGAGCAGCGGTTAACAACCTCAAGAAGCCCTTCCTCTTTATGGAGTACCCCGGTGAGATGGATTGGTGGAAGTCAGATGAATGGAGGAATTTCCGGGATGAGTATCAGTTGTCCCATGTGAGCTTGGAGGCAGGCCAGGGCCAAGTGTTCCATGCCGCAACAAATATGAACTTCGTCAACCATGTCAAGGAGCCCAGGGTCGAGAAGGGAGTATCCACCAAATGGACAACAAGCTTGTTAAGGGCAGTGCGCGATGGGATGCTGGAGGACATGTCCGAGAAAGAGCTCAAGCAATGGGCCAAGCATGTTCGGGATGGACATGTCCCGTTCAACAAAAGGTGCCGAACCTGCGTTGTGAATGCTGGCTCCGGGAGACCACACCGAAGGGTTTTGAATCCTTCGGCTCATGTTCTGAGTGTTGATGTGGCGGGTCCTTTCAGGACCAGAGGAATCGACGCTGATGGCAAGTACCGCTACGCACTTGTGGGTTCATACTGTATGCCGAGGCTTGAGGGATACAAGGACGTGGACATTCCTTTGGAGTTACCGAAAGCCGATGGGAAGAGTGATCCAGATCCACTACAACCGAAAGCCGATGGGGAGAGTGATCCAGATCCACTACAACCG